ACAGGGAGAAAAACAGTCCGGAACTTCAAAAAAAAATGAAACTCCATGGGCACTAGCACCCACGGTTTTATTGATATAGAAGAAGCATCCCTCATGAGAATTCCAGAAATTCGTCCCCGACGTGGATCGAACTCTGGTCGTTAGGTTTACAATCATGCGCCCCCAACCACTGGGCTATGCCCACGTCCTCAAAAAATGAAACTCCATGGGCACTAGCACCCACGGTTTTATTGATATAGAAGAAGCATCCCTCATGAGAATTCCAGAAATTCGTCCCCGACGTGGATCGAACTCTGGTCGTTAGGTTTACAATCCATTTTTCTTATTTTTATATACCTTTAAATAAGAATATTTTTTGTGTGCTTTTCCATCTCAATTTTTCTTGCCTGTATCCCTCACTCTTTCTCGTCTATTCAAAACCCCCACTTCGAAGCAACTGGAGGGGAATCTTTTGAAAAGTTTGGCTCAATTTTGTTTTTAAATTCCCTAAGCAAACAAAGAGAAAACTCACATGGTCTAGCCCCTTTCAAATCCGGTCAATGAGATAGACGACAGGGGACCCATGGTTAGGGGCCCAACAATTAGCCTTTCAGGCTCACGTTGTGAGCCCGGACTGCCCATGCCAATGGTAACAGCACCCGAGGTACTCTAACTTGCATAGAATGTGACGATTTAGTCTTAAACTTGTAAAATTTGACTCCATCATACCCCAACTTGCACCTTATGTAATGATTTAGTCCCAGACCAATGAGAACTCAAAAATTGGCAGCCAGGTGGCTGGACAGGTCAGCGCACGCACTTTTGCACAAAACCCCCTGTCGTTTCCTTTAATCAACACGCACTTTTGCAGAAGACAATCCACCACCAAACACCCGGCGCGACGCGACGAGAAACTGCAGTAGAAGAAATGGCGGCGACCGGAAGGTGGTTGTTGGCGCTTCACTGCTCCTCTCGCTTCGTGCTAGCCAAAGCCCAAGGTGCTTTCAGTGAGTGAGAGCATTCTAGAAGAGGCCGGGGGGGTAGTTTGCTGCCGTCCACGTAAGCAAAATAACGTCACACATTTTTTCGAAAAGTGAGTGTGTGTACTATACACACGTGTGACTAGTCACTCACGCAGATGTCCTGCGTTGGCCCCATGCGCGCCACGTAGGAAGGAGCCGCCTGGTCATGGTGCGTCGAAATTAAGCTATAACCATACGGTGAGTTGTTTTTTTAGCATCAGTACAGACACAAGCACTCATATACACACCCTACCCCTATGAGCACCTCCGAGAGACTGAGCCGGCATATCATCTTGAGATTTACGAAGTCACCGTAGGCACCTCGTCGTCGACGGGAACGTCTTCTCCCACTGAAAGCGCATCGCCGAAAATCCTGAAATAAATTCAGGAATAATGCGAGCATCAGGATTTGAACCCTGATGGGTTGAGGATACCACTGTCCACCTAACCAACTCAACCATAGGTTGATTCGCCATACGATGAGTTGTTAATTTGCATGTATGAGCACACAGCTGTGGTCCACTCTCACTCCGATTGTACATGTTCACGTAGTAGAGTGTGGCGTGGTGCAAGTAAGCTAGCCGGGATGTTTAGCGGACAAATCTGCATCGGCGTACGTACATCCAAAATCTGCTCCGATGATCGACTCTTGTTCCTTTGGATCTGGCGAAAAGGCCCGAAAGATGCAGGCTTGTCACGCACGTTGCCGGTGAGGATTTGGGTGTGCACACATAGCCAGAGCCACGTACCACTGCAATGGACAGTGCCGACCGCATAACTCAACCAGGATAGATGCTTATCTTGTTAATGACATGAGCAACAAAGGTGCTAAAAAAAGCTAAAATATAGCTCCGACCAACACCCAAATATTTTGATTGTAGCAACAACAAAAAAACGTCATCTGCCTCGGGACGGTACTTCTATATCCATGTCAATATAAAAATAACAAGTAATAGAAATTCAACAAATTTCACCCATTCAACTGCATCTATCCAACGTGTACAATGCTTCGGTGTTAGCATTAAACATACATTTAGCATTATAAACATGTTTACCACCCTCTACTAATTAATATCATGTCTAATATCAACATCAATTTAACCAAGTAATTATATCCTATCCAATATTACATGCAATTTATATCTTGTAATGTACAATACACTTAATATATTGTCTAATATTGACGTACGTTGTACGGGCCTAGTTTTTTAACACCGTACAAATGCAGATATTCACAAACACTCAAATTTTATTTTACTACTAGTCTATGACCAGCCCAACCACTTGCCAGCCAACCCAACACATGTTCGAACGACATATGCTTGCGTAAACTTTAAGTCCATCCTCTACTTTCTTCTAGATTCGCCACTGCACATACCCTGGTACCATGGGTATCTCCGAGATACTGAGCCGATACAATATATAGAGATTGTTGAAGTCGTCACAGACGTTCTCGTAGTCGACGGGAACATCGCTTCCCACTGAACGCACATTGCCGAAAGGCCTGAAATAAATCCAGTAAAATGCGGCTATCGGTGCCAAGTCTAGGACTTGAACACTGATGTATCAGTTCCATTACAAAGAACCTAACCATGTGATATAGGCTCAGTTCACGCACGTACACGATTAGTAGTTATAGAAAATACTAGTCTAGCCTAAGTGAACTTATGACGGTCCAAAATCTTAGTTTTGTTTATTACTTCTTCTCTTC